AACCAAGCTACAATAACTTATGAATTTCCTATTACTATATATAATTAATAAAGCTCATTAATTCTTACACTTTAGGAGAACAAAGAGCATAACTAGTTTTAAACTTCTTCGGATTCATGATATCTGGAAATTCTATTACTTTCTGAGTGAAGCGATCAAAAAGCTCATCAACAATTCCACGTCCGAAGTGCTGCTCAATCAGATCTCCCAAGAAAGCTCGTAACATGGAGACAAAGTTGGAGGCTTTTGGGGTTGAATAAAATTCTTCAAACTTCCGTGTCTCAATCCGCTCAATACTGAGGACTCTCATTCTTCTCCAGGATTTCCTTCAGATTCTTTGCAGGTGAATAAAAGAGAGGCAAATTGAGTGAGTCCAATCTTTTCTTCACCCACTCGTCCCTGCATCATTCCATGTGAGCCAGATTTTAGTTCTCTCTTTTCTTTTCTTATTTATAAATCATCTCCAACATATTTTAATAATTTTTATCTTTGACTTTATTAAATATTACATACTTTTAACAACGTATTTTCTTTCATATTTAATGAAAGTAATATGGGAAATTTCTGATAAAAGTGCATGACATGAAGATTAGAGAAGTATTCAGACGGTTAAAGGCTTCTCAATTACCACTCTAGCCATGTCCATGAGAGTAGATCCAAGAAGCTCATAAGCCCTAGAAGGATGTATATATCAGATTCGAGAATCACATCAGGCACAGTAGCGATCTGAAGCGCCATTAGCCCATTGCTCACAAGCTCTTGCGCTCTAGCATGCAAAAAATTCTCCAAGTCAGCTCTGTTACTGTGCTAAATACGCATCTTCTACTTCCTTAGGAGCATTTACGTGATGACTCCTTCCTTTGTTAAATGCACTGCAGCTTCTATCTGCAATCTCTTTAGGAACCCTAGAAAGCCAATGAAGTGTTGAAGATGAGTGGACACAATGGAGAGTTTTCTTTGGGAATAAGCGTCCAAGGAAAGAGCCAGGAACCCCAGAAGCGAAGTAAGTATTTTCTGTTTGGAGGAAGCTGCTTGAAGAATGTGTTGAAGTTATTTGAAACTTGGTCGTGAAGAAGACATGGAATTCTGGGATTTGATGAGCAGAAAGCTTCTGAGTTTTGTAATAATATTATTTTTCTATCAATTCTGTTATGGTTTGCATTGCAACAATGGCATTAGGCCCAGTGGAGCAGCCAAGGTCAGCAATCCGAATGACGTTTGTAGGTCCAATGTATGTCATGGGATCAAAGTTCTTGACTATTGCTTCCTCAATCAGTTTTTTGTTAGCTTCAAAAACTTCTCCCTGTAGAAAAAAAGACACGCAATATAATTAAATGATAAGTTTGAAATCACATCGCACAATCATAATATGTGTGTGTGCGTGCGCGCATGTCACTGTATTAAAATGTGAAGAAATTACCAGTATGCAGCAGAAGCTTAGTTTATTGAGAAGAAGAGGCAATGGCATATGAATTTGATGGCCATTAATTAACATCGTATATAGTTAAAAGTACAAGTTTAATACCCGAAAGGAAGAGTTTTGAGCGTAGCTGTGAGGACCCTCTCCTCCTGTCATTGCAAATGATGATTGATTCTCCATATATATTAGCTATTAGATGGTGTCTTATCTACCTGCATGATTTTTCTTCAGTGGTAAGTTATTTTGTGAACCAAGAATAATATACCCGCAGAACTATGACAAAGAGAGAGAGAATATACCATACGAGTTTATTAATTCTGTATAGGAAAACACAGTTTCCTAAATGAAAACAAGCTGTAGAACTTGAGCTTTCTGGTTAATGCAAGAAGAAGCCGATGCTGATGCATTTATATGCATATAGGAGTGTGTCTGTGTGTGTGTGTGTATGGTGTTCAAGGATATCGTTGGTGGGTGAGTCAAAATTCAAAACATGGCTCCCAAGCTAGGCGGGGTGAATTGAATTTTGTTAATTATTTTACTTTTCAAAAAACTTTACGGTTTGGTGGAGTTTACTGCTGCTGCATGTTATGATAATCATCAATGATGTCAACACACTACTGGCTTTGCTCATCAACGACGTCGCTTTATTATATTATTGGATGCTAGTGACCTTAAAATTTGGATTTAAGAGAGGAGAAGAGGAATATATATATTTCATCTGGAGTTATCACTACTTCGCAGCCATGCTTCTAATAATAGATCCAAATTATGGTTTGAATTTTTTATCCTTGAGGAATTTTTGTTGACCAATATACTTAAGGAATTTTATTGTTATACACAAGAATACATATATATATATATATATTAACTAATTATTGATGATAGAAGTTAAAGTTGAATCAATTTTAATCAAGCAAATATTCTGAGAAATAAAATATCCTAAATTGAAAATTATTATTAAGAATATATATATATATATATTATATCATAAATTCAATTTAAAAATAAAAATAATTTATATATATGTAACTCCCATATTTGCAATTTAAAAATCAGAAGATGATGATGATGATAATGATGATAATTAAATATATATAATTTTCATTAAAAAAATTCATCATATCACTACCCATTCAAATCATCAAATTTGTTTTAATGAAATCTGAATGGGCAATAAAAGAAAAATTTAACTTTGAGTTCTTACATTTTATTAAAATTTTATTGCTTTTAATTTCTATACTTTTATTATTTATTATTTTAAATCTTTTCAAGATCCCTACACTTCATTTATAAAGAGACTTAAAACAATAATAAATAAAAATTTAAAAATTTAAAATATAAAAAATATAAAAATTAATAATAAAACACCAGCAAATTGTGAAAATGAAAAGTTACATTTTTTTTACCGTAAAAGTTGTTAAGTGGAGACACGCTTGATCCAAGTCGAAAATCGGATACAAAGATGTCGTCATTGATGATCAAAAACAGCCGTCCTGTGACATCAGTGATTAGCATTACATTTTGCAAAAGTCAAGTGCTTTCGAACACTTTTCCAACCACAATCGAGGCATCAAAGTTTTGAATATTTCATGGCCTTTTCATATATTTTTAACTTTATCTTTAAAAATATTAATAAAAAATTATTCTATAAATCAAATATATAAAAAAAATTACGAAATCAAAAAATTATTTTAAAATCTATATTTTTATTAAAATATCAATTACATAGGTGTTAATTATTGCTCCTTTTAGCTGTTTATAACTAGCAAGGCAGCAATTACTATCAAGTAACAATTAACAAATTTTAATATAATAAATTGATAACTTTAACAAAATATTATATGGAAATTTAAAATAAATTTATGATTTTATAAAAAATTGTATTTAAATTTTGGCTTAAATTTTTTTGGGTAAGATCGCCGCAGAGTTATTTTGTCGACAAGAAGTTTATGATGTTCAAAAAGAAAAAAAAGAAAAAAAAAAGCAAGTTTATAATTGAACTCCGTATCTATCCATCTGACTATCTATATATTCAGAGAGTACTCTATTACCTTCCAACTCAACCAGAAAGCTCAGGTTTTCCAGAAACTCACTGAGGAAACTCCATTCCCATAGCTAGCCAATTCAGTGGTAGATTCTCTCTTATTAATTTCTTCATTAATTGAGGTAACTTGCCTCGTCAGCGGACACAGAGAGAGGGAGGGGGGGGAGAGAGAGAGAGAGATGGAGTATCGTTCTTTTGCAATGAATGGAGGAGAAGGTCCTCGCAGCTATGCTCAAAACTCTTCCTTTCAGGTTGTTCATTAAACTTAACGAATTCATCATGAGTTTACCCAAAACTAACTGCTGTACATATAAACAAGCCTTAATTTATTTCCTCTTCACATTTTTCTTCTTAGTATATATATAACCTGCTGTAATGCTGTTAGTTTTGCTTTTTCTTTCTGGATATTAATTTGTGCTACTCACCAATTAATCCTGGAATATCCACGAGCCGAACACAAAGACGAAACTTGTTATATATAAAAACAAATAATTTGAAAAAGGATTTAATAATTAATTAAATGATGCAAAAAGTAAAAGCGATGAACCAGCTAATGAGGCAAACGCCAGGGACCATGATTCACTTATCAGAATGATTTACTCTAATTCAATTAATTATCTTCTCTTTATTTATAGTGACAATTGTTACTAAAGTATTCTAATTACTTCTCAATATATTAGGGTATATTTAATTAAGGTTAAATTAACTTTTTCTTATCCTATTCAGAACTTAAATAAATCATGAAGCTATGATCTATAAAGCCACACAGATCCTAAATTATCCCTAATTTAATTATTTATGTTTATCTCTCAAAGTCTAACTTAACTCTTCATCTCTTAATTCATTGAATAGCCCACAAGCAAATTATATAGTGACCGTTCCATATAAAAAGTAATTAAAATAAGCAAGATAAATATAAATATAAATGAAAATATAGTTTTTCATAGATAAGAAATTAAGTTTGATAAGAAAAATAAATAAAAAGCGTAAAATCCATCCCAATCAAGTAAAAAACAACTCACAGAGGTCAAATTAGAAATCTCAATTAAAAACATAAATAAAATCTAAAAAATAAGATAAGAGAAAAAATTCTCAGTTTGGAAGATTTCTTCCAAACTTTATAATATACCTCTTAGTCTTCAGATAAAATTAAAATATTTGAGAGATTTTTGAAAGATTTATTTATAATTAATTCAGCCTCTGGAACCCGGATAGATCATGCCTCTATTTTATATGATTTGCAATACTTGATTTAAATATATTTAATTATCAAATTGCGTCTCCTAGAGTTTAGGTTTGCGTGCAGTCGGGCACCGTTATGTTATGTCCACGCGCGGGTAAAAGTCGAGGCTCCTTGTCCGTTTTGTTTTTCACGCGCAGGTGAAGAATGAGAGCTATAGTTGTCCACGCGCTGTTATGAATTGCGCAAAGGTTTCTGCGGACATTCGAATGCAAGGGGCACGATTCTTCTCGCGTTGGTTACATCCGCGAGCAGAGAAGCTCTTTGGTATTGCTGTTTGCTAACGGATGACTTCCTTTAATTTGGGCCATTTATATGTTATTTTCACTCCTTTTTCCTGAAAATACTGCAAAATACTAAGTGAGGCCCTTTTATCTATATTTATCCTTTTTCTCAAGCATATTATTCAATGAATAAAAGGGTAGAAAATATATATAAATTTGGGTAAAATACCCACTTATCAATGATGACACAATGACATACATGTGTATATGTTCCCTTATGTCTTTCACTAATCTTAAATTTATATTAACTTTGTCCTCTCTGTATGACACACACATGAAGTATATATCCTCGCGAACTCAGTGATTGTTGTGTGTTTTCTGCAGAGAAGCGCGTTTGAAGCTCAAAAGAGGTTGATTGAAGAGGCAATAGCCAATAACTTTGATCCCATGACGATGATAACTACTTCTGGGTCTAAGAACCTCATTACTATTGCTGACTTAGGCTGCTCAACAGGTCCTAATACCTTCATAGCAATACATGCCATAATAGAAGCAATAAAAAACCTTTACCACACAAGTAACCTTCCTGCTGCTCATTATCAAACCCTAGAATTCCAAGTCTTCTTCAACGACCAAGTCTCGAGCGACTTCAACACACTCTTTAAGAACCTTCCTCCTAACCCTAATCGATCCTACTTTGCTTGTGGGGTTCCTGGCTCTTTCCGGGGACGCCTATTCCCAAAGCAATCTCTTCACTTTGTGTATTCTGCTTCAACACTTCACTGGCTCTCTAGCGTTCCCAAGGACATTATGGATCGAAGTTGCAGTGCTTGGAACAAGGGAAGGATTCATCATACGGATGCTCCGAAGGAAGTTGGAGAGGCGTATGAAGCTCAGTTTAAAGAAGATCTTGAGAGTTTTCTGAATGCAAGAGCAGAAGAGGTTGTCGGAAATGGACTTATGGCACTTCAGATACCTTCTGCACCAGATGTTGCTGCTGCTGATGATGATAAGGAAATACATCCTGCTAGAGTTTTTGAGCTTCTTGGATCTTCTCTCATGGACATGGCCAGAGTGGTAAGAATTCTTAAGGAACCTTAGCTTATAAAAGCAATGAACTTTGAGAATGACAATTCTCTCATTTTTTTAAAAAAAATACTGTTTTTGGAATTTCTTTTCAGAACATAATAAAAGAAAATTTTATTTGATAGAATACTAAAATTTTTAGTCCCCAAATTTATCTTAACTGTCGATTTAATTGATCTTTCAAGTTTAATTTTTATAATTTGGTTTGTTACATTTTTCTTAACTTATGCTAGGTTTTTAAATTTTAAACTACAAATTAACTCTTAAATTAATTTAATATGTAAAATATATATATATATTGATCACTTGATACGTATATATAACTAAATGAGAATAAATTAACTCTCGAATTAGTTTTTTTTTTCTCCTGTCAATCTAATCCTTTATGCTGTATTTAATTTTATGCAGGGAATTATGACAGAAGAAAAAGTTGACTCGTTTAATTTGCCCATTTTTACTCACCTGTTAACGGCATGAAGGAGATTCTTGAGAGAAATGAGCATTTCAGTGTTGAGAAAATGGAAGCACTGAATCTTAAGAACTTCTATGCAGTCCCAAATGTGTACACATTTGTTTCCCTTTACAGAGTTGTGATGGAAGATTTGATTAAGCAGCATTTTGGGGCCGCCATTGTTGATGAGCTCTTTGATCGTTTCACTCAGAAAGTTCTTGAATTCCCAGATATCATGAACCCAAGGAAACTCAAAATAGTCATGCTCTTTGTTCTTCTTAAACGCAAGTTGTAAGCAGAGGGCAAAGTCTAATGAACATCTTTTGAACTAGAGTTTTCTGTTGAAGTGGCATTGATCAAAAGGAGAAAGAAAGGGACTTCTTAGTTCAAGTTCAAGTATAGGTTCCTCACAAGGTGTTAATGAAACCAAATTACTTTAAATTAACAAAATTTGATTACAATTGATTTGATTGTGGTTTTCAATTGAGTGGGTTCATTGAACAAATTACGTTATTGATCAATAGTTATTGATCAATAGTGAAATTTAACTGCACATAATTTATGTGATAAAGTACACAATTTTTTGATGTAAAATTTGTTGTATTGCCCAAAGTTGATGTTTAGCATAAATATGATCATATTAAAAATTTATGCACTATTGTGAGTTATATATGAAACTATTTTTACAATAAAGCAAAATATACTTAAAAGATGCAAAATAAAATTTTATAACCAACAAAAAATAAGTAACTGTAACAATGAAATTATAAATAACCATATATTTTTTTCACTCGCTAATGCTTAGAAGATAAAAATGTAAATAATACTTCCTCCGTTTAAAAATGTAAGATATTTTTAACAAAATTTTACCCCTAATAAAATAATTATCTACTTTCAAACTAATCTTATCTTTTCATATTTACTACTATTAAACACCCCACAATTAATAAACATAAAGTCATTATTAATAGGAAGTACTTTTGAAAAAAAATATAATAATTACACATCAAAATATTAAAAATACCTTACATTTTAAAAAAATATTTTATATTTTTAAACAGAGAGAGTAACTAATTTTATTTTAGGAAAAATTAATCTGTTAGTCCTCCAACTTTTAAGTCACTTGTAACTCAGTCCTTCAACTATTACTCGCTGTGACTCAGTCGTTTAATTATAACTCGCCAATGACTCAATTTCTCAACTTTTGAATCACTTACAAATTAGTCCCTTAACCTTTGTTAATTTTTTTTCATGTTAGCTTATATCTCACATTAATGAATAAGAAGAGGGTATTTTAAAATAATATATGAGCATTTTTTATCCCTTTTATAAAAAATTTTTAAAAAAATTAAAAAATAAGGACTAAGTTATAGGTAAATCAAAAGTTGAGGGACTGAGTTACATTGAGTAATAGTTGAGGGACTGAGTCATAGCGAGTCATAGTTGAGGGATTGAATTACAAGTAAGTTAAAAGTTGAAGGATTAAAAAATTAATTTTTTCTTTATTTTATAATTTATAAGGCTAAATGAGTAGTTTGAAAAAAAAAAAAAACGTTTTCTACATTCAATCAGACTCGAAACCAGAGACCCCATGAAGCGGTCCCCCTTCTGCTAAAATCAATGACAGTCAATGATATATACAACGTATACAACTTCAGTTTATGTTTATTCTTAAATAGTGTCCTTTCATTGATTTCGTGTTTTAGAGCTTGATTTTGTTCTCACTTTTCGCTTTTAGAAAACTATTCTATAAACCAATTTATAAAATTTATTTTTCGAAATAAAATAAAATGAAAATCTATTGGGTTATGTTAATTTTAAAATAATCATAGAATTAAAAAATTGATTGATAATAATGGTTGTTATTAGCGGCTAATGTAATGGCTTATGATTATAATTGGTCAAGTTGAAAAACAAATGTAGTATAACTTGAAAAACAAGAAAAAAAAATTAAAATATTTCTATTTTTTGAAAATAGTTTTGAAAATAATTAAATCCAAAACACTTATCCAAATGATTTTTAAATTTTTTGTTTTCAAGTGCAAAAAATAGTTTTAACCAATAGGGTTAGATTTAATAGAAGAGACTAGTCTCTCACAACATGACAAACCAAGATTTAAATATTTATTGAAAGATGTGCCCACTTGGTCCTAACCTTATCTCGAATAGGATTATTACCTCTAATAAAAATGATATGTATAAGCAATTTAGCATAGAAATATCTAGTCCCGTCAAATATTACTTAAAAGTAAATATAAAAATGAGATATCATCACATTACCACAAAACACTCCCTTACTTGACAATAATATTTTGCCATACTTGATGATTATTAATCATAAAGTAAGCGGGACATCATATATTACAAACCCATTACTTGATAATTAATAACCAAATAACTATCAAGTATAGGCTTTTAGGCATGGCTTTTGGTGAGTTTTGAAAGCTAATACTTGATGATTATTATAAAATAACCGTCAAGTATTTGTTATAAAAAACTCAAGCCTAGTAAAAATTTATGAATATTTGATAGTTATCTCATAATAACCATCAAGTATATATTTGAGAATACTTAATAACTGAAATAACCGTCAAGTATATTTGAAGGTTATTATAAAATAAATATCAAGTATTTATGGTATTCTTATTTTAAGAGGGTTATTCAAGTAGCCCATTGCATATTTACACAAAAGCCAAATACATAACAGCTAGCCAACAACAAAAAAAACAAATCAATCACTATTTTTATTAAAATTATTATCTAAATATATTAGAATTCCTATATTATTGCTATACTGATAAGAATCATTTATTACACAATTTTTTATTTTAACGAGGACTATTAATAATGTGTTATTAGCTCAAAGTACACACATATTGTATTGAAATTGAAAATTTGACTAAGTGTCTAGATTTTACATATTAAAAATATTTTGGTTCAAAAATAAACTTTTAAAAAATATTAAAAAAATTGATAAAATGCATTTCAAGCACAAAAGAAGAGTGGTTAAATTAAATCTTATAAATTTATTTTAATTTGAAAGTAATTATATAAAAGTTAAACACTTTTCATTGACTTTCTCAAGTGTATTCATTTAACTTAGTTTTGAGTTTACATTTGTATTTGAATTTTGCACATCTTTGTACACCCATTGCTTCGACATTTTTAATAAATATTCCCTTTTAAATATGAATATAATGCTGCACTTTAATTAGATTTTACGATGTTACATTTTATTAAATTGAATTATATGTATTTTGTGACATAAGTGAAATGTGCACATATATATCAATTAGGCAAATCTGATTGTATATGGAGTGAAAGTGCTTTCATTAGAGGGAGTAGATCTAATTAACTTGTTGATGCTACATAGGATTAAGTTGACAAGCTTTCGAATCATCTATAAGCCAACAAGAACATGCCACCTTGCAAGCCTCTTCTATATGACCTGAATCTACTTGCATTTATGTTTTATTTTCTTTTATTTTAATTAAGTAAAGCTAAAGTCAAACTAAATTTGCGTGCCGTTCACTTTATATTTTCAAATCAAACACAATAACTCACTTCATCTTCACACATTCTCTCACTTGTTTTTCATTTTCTCTCTACATGGTGGCACCATTTCTTCATCATTCCTCACTCAAATCACCACAAGACACTCACCATTCTTTATATATCTCTTTCATTTTGCTCATCCTTTCCCCAAGGATCTAAGCCTCAAATCTCCATAATGTGGTTCGACCTCTTCAAGAGCTTTAAGGATTTCATAGAGATAGAGATGAGTGGCTAGGCTCTTTGGTAGAATCCTAAAGAGATAAAGATGAAGAATGAATTAAGAGCTTCATGTGGCTAAGCTTTCCTTGTTTCCTATATTCTCTTTTCTTTTCACTTGATGATTAGATACTTTAGTCTAGAGTTTAATTATCATTACCATATAATTCCATTATGAATTTAAGTCTTTTGTAAAGAGAAGAGGGTTGTAACATTATTTTGTTGTTTGTCCATGGATGATTTCAGCTACTTGATGAAATATACATAATCTTGTATTTTTTTATTTAGTGAATTGCTTATGTTAGTTGATATTGCATAATCTTGTGATATTAATACTTGTCATATTGAGTAGCTTAATATAATTTTATAATTGCTCTTATTTGGTCTAGGCCATGGCACATAAGGAGAGCAATTTAATGGCACAATTGATTAATTATTATACCAATTAATAAAATGAACTAAGGGCTTTAGTCTAAAACTCAGGGAGTTGAGCTAATTAAGTTAATTAACTTATATAAGATAGTTTTCTTAAGTCAATGCAATTTTGGTCAAGGGGAGGTTTAATTTGGAGATATAATTTAGCTTAATTATCAAGAAGATAATGATTTCAATATCAAATAATCTCTAAGGTTCCAACTTCTTAAAAAGAAATTTTAAATCACTCATTTTAGGCTAGAGTTTAATAACTTGTTTGGTAGGAAATTAGATAATTCAACTTTAACTTTTAGGTAATTTATTCCACTAGTTAACCTCTCAGTTAAATACAAACTACTCTTTAATAAATAACCTAGGTTGACCCTTACTATATTAGGGTTAATTTTAATAACTATTTTGATTAGGTAAACAACTAGTATCGTATACCTAAACCCTAAACCATAAAAAATCCATAATCTTAGCTAATTTGCAAATGAAATTTTAAAACTAAGTGGCCTAAGATATAAAAATTGGCCAAAAAAATGGATGTATAAGTTATATATACACATAAACTAACTATTAAGCCTAACCACTACTATTATCTATATATTGAACACAGCTGGGGTCACCTCTTCAAGAACTTCTTCTATATGTGTAACTGCATAATAGATGTCTTCAAAATACTATATGCAAAGAGTCACAATAAATTCAAGTTAATAGCTAACTAATTAAAGTTAGTTAAAATTTATAATTTAAGTATAATTAAATTTAATATATACCTTATCAAGTAATGTGGGAGGGACATGATCATGATCTCATCAATCAATAACCATAATAATTGCTTTGATCCAGTTAGAGTGGACACTATAAAAAAACCAAATATCAATGAAATAGTATAATAGGCCATGGTTTTTTGATTAAAAACTTGGCTAATTAAATGAATACCTTAATTGTCACCCCTTAATTGTCACCCTTTTCTCGCAAGAATCCAATAACCTCGAGCACCCCACAAGTTAAATTTCAAACACCCACTAACAAGGACACCCATGGAGGTCAAAATGATCAACATTGAAATCACCCTCACACCCATAAATCAAAATCAACAACCCATAAGCTCAAAATAAGGATTAATGATGGGAAAAGCAAAAACCAACCTTACGAAGAAGAGAAGACACCAAAAATAGAGACATGAGAACCACGATGGCAACAAATCCACTCACACAAGAACCCACAAGCAAGATTGAAGTCAAAAGTCCAATACCCATGAAGACTGAAGTGCAAGATT